GATTTCCTCAATATTTGTCCCATCCACTTCCATAACGTCTTCCTGATTTCGTCCTCCACTGGGATCTGGTTTGTTCTCTCCCATAGTAAGTGGTTGCTGAAATTGTCTGGCCAACGGATCCGAAGTATTTTGAGTAGACAACTGTTAATAAACACTTGTATCTTCTGGATGATGGCTTTCGTAGTTCTCCAGGTTTCCGCCACAAACAGTAGAACTGTGTTGACATTTGTATTGAAAATTCTATCTTTGCTGTTGGTTGACAGTTGCTTTGAGTTCCAGATGTTTTTCAGCTGTAAATATGCTGCTCTTGCTTTGCCGATCCGCTCCTTCACATCTACATCTGATCCACCGTGTTCATCAATGATCCTGCTTAGATATGTAAAGGTTTTTACATCTTCCAAATATTCTCTGTTAAGTGTGATTGGATTGTTGCATTCTGTGTTGTGTCGGATAATCTTGCTTTTCCCTTTGTGTATATTGAGACGTACAGCTGCTGAGGCTGCTGCTACAATACATTACTTAGAAAACACTATAAAATTGATTATGAAAATTACGTTTATAATAGTGTGAATAAATTGCTTACTTATTCCTCTAGTGATTTTATGATGATTTTTGTTAGAACCATAACGTGTACAGGGAACTGTTAATTTTAAGCTGCCATTTATAAACTCTTCATCACCATCCTTACAAGTTGTATTGTTTTGATATTTCCATGATGGTTTAGCGAAATTCAAATGACTAAGAGATAATGGATGACCGGTTACACCTTCATAGATTTCATGTACTGATTTTATGGAGTCTTGAACTATATTTCTCGGTTGGTTACAATGACTAACTACACTGAAAGAGTCTTGATATGTACTTTTAAAGCGCATTTGATTCAAAAAATTATATTGCTCTTTGGTAAGTCTTTGAAAGACTTTTGGTCGATTATATACTAATGACTGAATTAAATCTGCCTCTGAATGACGATGAGGACAAAACGTTTTGTCTCTTTGTATCAGCGACTCAGAAACTGTCGATACAGGAGAGCTTGGTTTATCGAAATATAACATTTGATTCATTTCATTTCGATAAGTTAAAAAGTCCTTGTTGAAAAATGAACAAAAAAAATTTGTTGAGTAATATCGCAGAAAACGAGGTGTTTAAAACGTGTTGCTGACTGTGTTTTTTTTCAAAATTTTAATAAAAAGTAGTTAAGTTTATCTATGTCTTTTCAAGTGACTTGTGAACTTCTTAAACAATATCCATTTGTAACAGAAAAGTAATAACATTGATATCTTAGTTTACATCAAAATGATGAAAATGAATACAGCATATAAATTAGAGAGTTATTCGGTGAGTTTATAATTTATGGACGAACCAATCACATTTAGGATAATAGGTCCTGGATTTTGGCGCGAAATTCACTCACTCATTTGGCCAACTATAGCATCTTGACATTTTAGCTTATGTCAATTCATGATGAAAAAACCGTAAATCTAATTCTTAACTCTGACCATCAACTGTGAATCATAATGCTTAATGTTCAAACTGCTTTATAACCCTCATTTCGGCCTAGTAAGTAGGTAGACATTCTCAAAGTCACTCTGGCATCGCTCAAAAGTTGTCGATAAATTATAGTCTTGCCGGTTATTCTATTTTCAATAATAATATTTATCAAGATTCTTGTCAATAAACTTTATTTATGAAATGAAACCTATCAATTAGATAAAACATGATGTACACCTTTATGAATGGAATAAATGTATTTCTTGTAGTACAGTGACCAAAGTAATTGGATATAAGCTATAAACAATGTAGTGCTTTTAACTAGTATTTGGGAAAGTTATTTTACTAAAGAATAATGATAAATAATCACATAGTAGTGGTAATTGATAGAACTACCGATGTTACTGTATGAATTTCTACTACTTGAATTGATTTTGATATAGAAAACATATATCATAACCGTGAATAGAAATTGTTGGACTCATAGACAGTTTGTCTATTTAAGCTGTCTAAACCATTAATTTATAACAATGAAATTTACAATTGAAAACAAATATTTGCCTAGTCTCTGATAGCATCTAAGCATTAAATGGTGGTTGGAGGTAGTCGACAGGAAACCCTGGACCCGGGTTTCGTGCTACTTGGCACTCGTCAGCAAGGTGTACCTGTAATCTTGAGGGAACTGGTGCTCCCTGACGGATTCGATATCGTGTCATCCAGCTTCACAGTCAGAGACGTTATCACTGAGCACTGTCGAGTCACCTAGACTGATGGCCACATTGCAACATGGTCGATAGCATTCGATCTACACTAATAAGGACTAGACACGCATGACATTGATCACCACCCAGTGATCAATCAATTGTGATTAACATCTGAGCATTTCTCATATTGTTAGCTACAATGGGAAGTGTTCATTTTTGACAGATATGGATTCCCTTCTATTTGTTTCCTGATAAACAAGCATGTCATTGTTGATATTCACATTGAAACGTGAAACTATTTTCCATTGATTCAAACATATCATACTCCATGAATCATTTAGTGAATATTCTAATTCAATAGCGTCATAGATAACACATTGATATTTGAAACGACATATACTGCATTTGAATCACTTTTTAAACATCAATAATCGAATTTAAGTACAGTCAGCTCTTATGTACAAAATAGAAATGGATGCACGTCTTTAATTCCACTGGTAATCAGTGATCAAAACACAATCAATTAAGCAGTTGTCATCAGTCTGGTATATCTAATTTTAGAATAATCATAATTTAAAGAAGTTGTGTGGAAATATTGTTCTATCTAGTGTAATATACAGTTTATTTCGTTGAAAGACTCCTTTTTTGATTCGCAGAATGTGTATTCCTTCGGATATTCATTCATACATTTTTTTCCAACTAAATATCAATCCCAATATGTGCTTTTTACAGTTGTAATAAATTTTTATAGAGCGGAGTAAAAGGTTTATTAACATTCTAAGCAACAAGTTTGTCGGCTTCACTAATACTTCTTAGAAAATGTAATCTAATCAATATTTACCTTTCTTGGATGAGGTCTATTTGCTCTTGTCCCACTTGAAGTAGCTGTTCTAATCGGAGAATCTGGTTGAGGAGTCCAGCATCCAACATAATCTCTTGAATAAGTACTCTGATATGGACCATCAACTGAATTCAGTACTTCTAAATTATTCAAATTTCGACAAGTATTTGGTGTAGAGATAGATTTACATGTTGGAGCTCTAAAAGCGTGTCTAGTTGATCGTGGTCTAAAATTAGTGTAGAATGAACACAACAAGATGATATTTATTTAGACCAATTTGACGTTGTTTCCAACATATACTTATGAATAAAATATAGCACCACTTATCAAGTTATTGATCATTAATTTCAATACAATTCTCAGGACGTCCAGTAAAAAAATACGTTTATGAAATAAAGAAGATACATTTGTTTTAGTAAAAAATGATTTTTAGATTAGATCTGAGGTATCATTTAAAATGTTGAGCTTATTCTATATTACTAGCATAGGGGTTGTGGAGATTATTACGTTTTTGATTGAGATCATAAACCGATTGATGTTAGACCACCTTTGGAAACCTGGAAGCACTGTACGGCCATTTCGTCCTGTTGTGGGAATCCTCAGCAGTGAGCATACACGATTCCGCTCGCGGGATTCGAACCCAGGGCCTTTGGCCTCGCATGCGAACGCTTAACCTACTGGACCACTGAGTCGGCATCTAATTGTGATAGTGTCTAACATCAACCAATCCACGAAATTGCGCGACCAACTTCCATTGTACTGAGGTAGATACCTGTCTCTACCCGACATGGATTAGCTCCACTGATCACGGCTTCTCACTAGAACTCCGAGAGTTCCCTCACGAAGCTAGTAACTAGTGAGCACATGTTGATTACTAGTATAGAGGTTGTTGTGTATGTGAGATTAAGCATAGACAATGGGTACTTATCTTATTTGTACAGAAAGTGTGTACAGCTAGGAACAATAAATTTTACAGATAAAACATTTACAGTTATTTGTCATGACATGTTTGTTTGTATCATCTAAGCGTGAAGACAATAATACTGGGGAATAACACAAAACACTATAAGAAATAAAGTACAAATTCATAAAATCTCAACGAATGAATTTGAAGTAAATCCAACTTTTCGTCTGGCAATCTGATCCAAGCTTTTTCAAGGAACCAGATTACCAGGTGAAACGTTGGATTTACTTCAAATTCATTCACTGAGATTTTACAAATCCATTCTTCCTCTTTAATGTCTCATATCAACGCGGTGCCTAAATACTGTAAAACTATTCGATGAAATTTAGACGAAAGTTTTTTATAAAGTACAAATTCTTTTGGAGTTCTTTATAGATTATTGTTTACGGAATTTATATTGGCTTACAAAGATTACCTTGAAATGTCATTTGCAAAGTTTTTTTTTACTACTACACCTATAAACTTTCATTAACTTAATGATATGAACAAAACTGTGATCTATTGACTTTTGTATCGCGAGTTTTGTGTTACTTCGGTTTTTGTGTTCTTTGTAGTTGTAATTTATGTTTTATGTATGTTAGTAACAGCATTTCCTTTCCATTTATAGATATTTTGAAACTGATTGAACAGTTCCATTCTAACTGTTCAGAACTGAATGGAATTTATTTTATTGTAAACAAATAATAATTAGGATTGTTATTGACTAAGTTTTATATTCATCTAGTTCTTTAATACTAACCAAGTTCTACTTACTGAGTTGTTCTATGAACGATTCTATAAATTACATAATATCTCATTCATTATATTTTATTGTTAGGTGGTTTGACGTAATCGACAGAAAATCCTGGAACTTGGTTTCGGTTTAGTTAAAAATTCTAATTGAGATGCATTTGAAATTTTATGGGAACTGGCACTCCCAGGAGGATTAAAACTCAGGTTAACCAAGTTCCGAAATCTCAGACATCGACTTGTTGACACTTCTATTACTTAACATTATTTGACTGAAATAATATCAGCCTTAAGTTGTCAGACAATTGATGTTTGCTGAAAGTTGTAGGATATCATTTAATTTTATTAAAATATGTACCTTCAACTGGTAACCTATATATATATATATATATATATATATATATATATATATATATATATATATATATATATATATATATATATATATATATATATATATATATATATATATATATGATTTAAAAACGTATTATGGGTGACATAAGTGCTAAATAACCAAATCGAAATGAGTTCCACACCATTGTTCACTCGAGCTGCGACCGTTTCGAGACCATATATATATATATATATATATATATATATGCAAAAACATTGACTAAGATAACAATAGTTTCGGCTTTTGTCAGTCAACACTTTTATTCGATAAGAGATTCTCACCTTCATCTTAAATTTAATCTATTTCATCATTAATAACATACCGTAATGCTATCAAAGTCGACGATCGTTTATTTGGAAAATCTCTTGAATATGTTGTCTGTATAATATCTGTTTCATCAGGTAGAATTCTTTCACTGATATTGATATTCTCTTCAGAATCAATGTTGCTAGTCGAATTTCTATCTAATTTTTCTTTATTACTACTTGCTAATGTACAAGCATCTGAAGATATACTTTGGATTTCTCTATTAAAATTGTTTTTCTCTGGAATAAATTTTAGAAAATTACGTAGAATGAATAAAAATCTTAGGGTTAAGTACAAATATTTATAAAAGTGTTAGATTGATAGCTAGTATAGCAATTAAGGACGTGTTTTATGACTTATTTTGAGCTTATCATTAGGATATACTTGATACACTCTTGTATTGATGTTCACACTAGGAGACGAATCTGGTACTTATCACTTCAAACAAGTGATGTGCTATCCACTTAGCAACTGAATCCAGATAGTTAGTACCTTTGTATTTTGTAGGAATTTAATGGATTACAAATGTTCTAATTCAAACACATAAACCTTGAATCATGTCTACAGAACTTGTGAATAAAGGGTGTAAGGTAATTGTTGGTATGAAAAGTAAGCAGGAAAATATGAATTTGTTGGTGATGTAGTTTGTGAAATATGTGGTAAATACCCGTTTTCTTGTACTGTTTTCACACGGATATCCCGTTTAATAAATACAAGGATGAGGCTATCGAACTTTTATTTTATATAATCTGCTTTGCATTAATTTTGTTGGTTTTGAAAATACTCTTTATTTTTAATAACCAATTAGTACTACTTCTTCAGATGTTAAACTCTTCAACCATCTTATTGTTTCACCTTTTATCATCACCTTGTAACCAGTTTGTATTTCATGAGTAAGAAGAATTTTCAAGAGGATGGGTTAATTCACGTGTGCAGAGAGAGAGAGAGAGTGAATAGTGTTCCACTGTGGTGATCGAAACTTCCGTCAAATGGTAGTCTTAATCCAGCCTTACTAGGTTGAAGTATCATTCAAATAATCAACTCTTAACTTTTACAATGACATACATATCATATGTATACCTTATTCATATTGCTATTTGAATAAGCAACTACATTTAAGACACCTGTCAGTATTTTCTGTCACATATATTTCATTAATTAATGATAGTTAAAGCAAATACGAAAACCACCCTCCAGAAGATACAGGTGTTTATTAACAGTTGTCTACACAAAATACTTCCGATCCGTTGGTCAGACACTATCAGCAACCACTTACTGTGTGAGAGAACAAACCAGAACCTAGCGGAGGAAGAAATCAGGAAGAAGCGTTGGAAGTGGATAGGACATACATTGAAGAAATTACCGAACTCCGTCACAAGTCAAGCTCTGATCATTTTAAATAATGAAGGCCAAAGGATAAGAGGAATACCAAAGAACACATTACGTCGAGAAATGGAAAAAGACATGGGGAAAATGAACAAGAATTGGATAGAACTGGAAAGGAATTCCCAGTACAGATGGGGTTAGAGAATGTTGGTTGGTAGCCTATGCTCCGTTAGGAGTAACAGGCGTAAGTAATTATGTAAGTAAACCAAATACAAACTTTTTAGTCATTTATAATGATGTTTAATTGACGTTCCATAGATCAATAGATTATTATGAAATGAATGTTTCTTGGATATTTATATGAAAGATAAGATTGGAACTTAAGGAATAATCTGTCTTTATATGAAAAAAAGAATGTTTGAACTTACATTCCAATGAATGTAATCAAGCGATGAAGAAAATAGATTAGAATATAACATATTTTATTAACATTATATTACTTCAATGATTTCTATATTCTCAAATGTTTATCAATCAACATTAAACTTCAAATTGATCATATTGAACTTACTTGATTTTACAGATAAATTACATGAATTCTCCTTATGTTCAAATCGATCATGAAGTGGTAATTTATTGATAGACAATATATCCTGACAATCTAAACTATTCAGTTGTTCAGTATCATTTAATGTCATCATTCTTTCAAGAGTTTTCTGGGGTGTTTTGTTTTTCTTCTTCTTTTTCTTCTTCTTCTTTTTAATTGTTTATTTGCTTATAATTTAAATACCAAGTTTAATTTGTTGTTTAACATTCAGTAGATACATCTTTAATGAAAACAAAAACAAAACAAAAAAAACTAATTTAGTTCATTTAAGGTCATTTCATTGAGGGTAACTATTTAGATTAAGTGTCCTTTAATTAATTGTAGACAAACCATTACTGTATTGTAGTGTAGACGAATTATATTGATAAGAATATAGGTAACCAATGCTAAAAGTTAATTTGATTTATTGATTTTGGCATTGTATTCATTTATTGTATAGTAAAATGATAATTTATTAAAACTATACTTTAAAGAGTATAAATATATTCAACATATCATAAATATCAGTATGGGGTTGTAGAGATTCCACTGCTAGCCACTATCCATCATTGGTTACAAAAAGCTTGTGAATTAAGGCAATATCGAGGCATGCGCACAGTATGCACATATGCCAATAACAGACTGATCAATTGCAGTCTTAAAACTCAATGAGAAGATACAAGCCAAACAATGCCAAGTGAATTGAAATTCACCCCATTGAACAAACAATTGGCTATCAGAACTCAGTAGAAAAGTGGATAACGCGATGGCGTTTGAAGCGAATGGTACTGAGTTCGAGTCCCAGAGTGAACATCAACTCTGAGATGCAGGTACATCCAACTGACGAGTCTCAAATAGGACGAAACGCGCGTCCTGGATTCCACTGTCAGCCACTGTCCACCATTGCTTACAAAAAGAGATTATGTTTTTTTATTGAGATCATAAATCGGTTGATGTTAGACCACCGCGGGTTCGAATCCCGCGAGCAGGGTGGTGGATGCACACTACTGAGGAGTCCCACAATAAGACGGAACGATTGTCCACTGCTTCCAAGGATTTTTAATGTTGGTCTGACATCACCCAGTTCATGATCTCAATCAAAAAATATCACAAATAATATTATATAAATATATATTGTAGAGTTACATTATTGCAAATGAATTTCAATACCGTATATTTATATATGAGTGTTTTATAGTTAATAACTACAGTTACTCTCTCTCTCTCTCGATTACTGATAATGTGTTTCAAACAGTCTTATGAAGAACACTTCATTCTTTAGGTAAATAACATATACAGATCGAAATAAGAATTGGAGATGAGTTCTGTTTTTAGGTGGTTTTTCAAAATGAACACAGAGAATATATCTGCTATTCAGAATAATAATAAGAATAGTAACAGATAGGTAAGATAAAACAACACGGTTCAAAAGTGTTATTCTTATTATGAGATTGGAAAAATAAGAATGCTAATGTTCAGGAACAATCTTAAGGATAGACTCTTACTTCTGACCATTTCTATATGCATTCATCAATTTACTTACTTATGAAAAACTAGGTATATGGAATGATCAATGCATATCCTATCTGAAAGAAGTTAACAACATTGTGCGGTTTGATTGAAATAAAATTAAAATTAATCGTTAAGATGTCTTATAATCGAACACTTCGTGAACACGTTTCTGATGGATAAAACAAAATCAGCGTCTAAACTCATCCACATGATAAGTAGAAACTTGTCAATAACAGTGGATTTCCGCCTTCCTAACGTCTTCGAAGCATTTATTATATGACTGAAAAAACAACCCAAAAGCATGAACACAATAGAAATTTATAGTACCTCTTATTTGACTATGCTCTCAAACTCTCGTTTTCGCAAAGTTAGCATCTTCTCCCCTGTATCATTCCCTGTTGGCCTTTCATCGTCAAATGACATATTTCTGTTTCTAAGCTCATCACAATACCAATAATTTATGTAATCAATTTGCCCAAACCTTCTCTAAAGTTATTCATTTTATCTACTTGTCAATGAATGTTTAAGCTCTTAACAACTACAAATAAATAACGACTATATAGAGTAAAATTAAGTTGACCAGAATGAGAACTCATCGCTGAACCAATCTGTCCTGTTTTCATACAGTACAATTATTTGAATTTTCGACTGTTTTTTTCAATGAAAAATGATATCACTTGAAGAAACATTGAAAACCAAGGACCATTAAATAAATGTTTTACCATATTATTCAATTCTTCAGTGGTGAGAACCTATCCCTCCAGATTTTGAATCAAAGACTTCCAATTTTGAACACTAGGAACTTGCTTTAAAGAGACTAAGTCACTGATATACCTGGATGTCCAAAGCTTAATCAAAATGTTCAGAGCATATGTGAGGTAATTTAGTGATGGAATTAAAAAGAATCACAGAAGTGGTAAGGCCTTAATATATTGATCTTCTTACTTCACGAATCAATGAATTTAAAAGGTTTCAATTCATGTGTACTGAGAGTTTACAACTTCATTTCAAAATGATAAAGTCATCACAGGTAACTGAGTTACCTGACTTCTGATTAATTTATTTATGTGGAAGGCGAAAATGAAGCAGGTAGTTGAGTAAACTAGATTCATTTATAAATACTTTTGTCCTATGTTTGTTGTTTATTATGTACTTAAATGAACTAGTGTTCAGATTATTTTAAACATGTTGAAAAACAAAATCAACTAGTCAGTATGATTAGTCTACGAATATTCATATCAGACAATCGAATATATCTTACTGGTAAAGTTAAAGTCTATTCAGGAACGGTTAACACTTCACAGTGGTGGCACTGATTATACTGTAAACTATAAATACAAATGTGATGAACTTGAACTCGACCCTTTAAAGAAGAGAAGACTTAAACTTAATCTAACCTTTTTTATCGAAATAACTAATAAACCATTCATTGAAGCTATTCAAGATCCAGAAACTCCTACTCACACCATCCGTAATTCCTAGTCATGAGTGAAACCATCACATTGTAAATCTTCTCTCCATATTAATTACTTTACCATTAAATTTTCCAGACTCTGGAATAATTAACCACAATCTGTCCGTGGAATAAAATCCCTGCCATCATCTTTTCGCGGCATCGATGCCTACTTCTCCTCTAAAATGCTTTAAATATTCTTACACCTGAAAGTATATCTCATTCCACACGTGAGATTATGGGAATTCCTAAAGTTTAATCATTTTATTACCAAACCCACTAAGTAAACCTCCCTACGTGTAGATACTTAACACTAACACCGTTCCTAATAACCTTAGATAATATGAATAATATGTAATATGAATGGTTTATCACAAAATAACCTGACACATTTATTATGGTACACCCGGCTGGCCGACTCACTGACCTATCGTAGTAATTATCCCTTTAGTCGTTTCGTGCTCGCTGATTCCATTTTATTTTTTCACATGTTGAAGTGATGATATCGATTGGTTATAACTCAGAAATTAATCTTCAATGCACCGTTGATATATGAATTTTATTTCCACTTAAAGTGAATTAAGAGTTCCAACTTGAACACTTTGATTGCTGTAATAAATGTTATAAATGCACTACAAAAACTGTTCTTCAACTAGAACACATCAAACAACCTAATATCACATATCTATCCTTTACACGATCTATCTTGTTCTAGAACACATCAAACAACCTAATATCACACGATCTATATCAAGCTGATTATGTCTGTAAACTCGTATGAATTCTGTAATTGGTATTTTCAGAATATATCGTGTTATTAATAATAATTATAATAATAATAATTTACGTCAATTACATTCGAAATCATAACAGTTCAAAGAGTATCAACTTATTGTTGACTATACGAAAAGGAAACAATTGGAATCAGTGATAGAAAGCAACACTGTTTACACATGTGCACATGTGGAAATAATATCCAATGGCAGTAAGAAACTAATTGAAATACACAAATATATATTGGATTATAAAGGAGTGTTTTCAATTTCAAAGTCGAATTATTTCTCTGTTCAGGATCTTACAATCCATACCCCTCTCGAACTGGAGGTTGCTGTAGAGTACTTGCTATCAGTTGTAAAATACTACCAGCATAAATAAGTACACAAGCTGACCAAGCCATTGGTATCATACCACCAGGGGAATATACCGTATTATCACGAACAATCTAGGTAAGCAGAAATTTATAAATCAATCAAATCCTATAACATAAACATATATAATACCAAAAAGTATTTGCCTATTTAAGATCTCAGTATCATCACTGATAAGTACACTTTGTCATCTTTCAAGCCAGTTACTTACCAGCTATATGGAGATAGGGCTATTTACAGATACATATCATCTACAATCAAATACTCTCACTGTTCACACATTCAACTTTTAACGAAGTTCAAAACAGAATGTCCATGTCATCCAATGATGATTAGATTGATTGGTTTGTATAATGTGAGTAGTTTGTGAATTTTATGTGAATTCAGAAATCGCTCTCCACAAGAGTTCAGTAAAACATCATTCGACATCAAATTTTGATTGTTGTAATGCATTTGTGGATCCATCCATTAAGAAATGATGTATTTATGTAATGCAACGTAATGTAATGTGACGGTTAGTAGCTTTCAACTAGAGAGTGTGACTGGTCATGTACAAAAAATACTCATTAATTTCCAATTATCCGAACCCACCCACTCAATTGAAGACCATCATTCGTCACATTAATTATATCAAACGGGGTTTTTTGTGAGTATTATAATAACTTTAAAAGCTAAAATCATGAACCAATTGAAGCTAGACAACCATGGAAAGCCTGGAAGCACATGACAGCCGTTTAGTCCTATTGTGGGACTCCTCAGCAGTGCGCATGCACGATCCCATCTCGCGAGATTTGTACACAGGACCTATATTTCTCGCGCGCTAACGCCTAATCCTCAGACCACTGAGCCGGCATCCAATGGTGTTAATGTCTGATTTCAATTAATTCCCGAGATTGAGCGACACATCCACCAATGCCTTCAGTGAGTTACTATCTCACAACAGATCCAGTTGAACTCCACAGGCCACGGATTCTCACTAGATCTTCAGGAAATGCCTCTTGAAGCTAGTCACTGGTGAGCATATGATCATTATAATCAGAGAG